GTGTGGAGACGGGTAGGTTTAGGTATATGTAAGGTGGGAAGAGTTGGATCTGGATCCAACCTCGCCCCCTGGATCTTGTGTTCTGCAGTGAGAAAGTGACTGTCTGACTACTTTTAAATCATGTCTTAAAACTTACTTGTTTAAATTAGCTTTCTCTGATCAATTTTAAATTATTTAATGTCAATAGTTTTTGTTTGTTGTATTGTTGTCTTGATTTTATGATTATCACTCAACTGTACGGTGTCCTTGAGTGCTCTGAATAAAATGTATTATTATTTTATTATTAGAATGTAATAAGCCACCAAACAAATCTGAATCGGTGTAGCTGCGTGTGGGGTGAATTTGGAGTGCATTGGGGGAAGACATAATCTCGAAAAAGGTAGTTTTATATTTATGGACGCAGGAGGGCGCCAGATGTCCTCTCTAAGACTTGTCCCCTGAACACCTGACCTGAGCAGAAAAGGAGCCAGAGACTGACTTCAACTTTGAATATATATTTATATAACTGTACAGTAATTTTGTGCATACTGTAGCCTAGTAATGACCAACCATGTTTTGATCCAATTCATCCTTCCAACTAACCCAATCGAGTGTCAACACTAACATTAGGCCTATTCATTTTATTAACGACTCTAAATAAAGTATAGGCTCACATAATAGCATTTATTTTAATTAGATTTATTTATTTATTTTTATAAAATAACAACATTCTATTTTAAATCGCTCTACAGCAGAGACAAGTCACCAGGGATTATAGCTGGCAGAGCTCAGGCCACAAAGTTTGTTGAGTTGACAGAATACTTAGTAAATTGCCAGTTCTCGTGACTGAGGTAGTTTTCTATGTAGGTCTGTGCACGAGGCGTTTGGCGCGACAGAGCATCATATAGGGCTGGTTCCGCGCTTTATCCCTGGTGTTTACCGGGGAATAATTGCTGTTTTGTGCACCTGTGGGTGTAAGGAGACTGGCGCCGTCTGTGATTAGTCAGAGGAATGCAGACTGCTTCCGTAAAATACACTGACAACATTTCAACGATAGATGGCATTCCAGTTAAACCGTGCTTCTCAACAATGAGGAAACATATCCCTTTAATCAAGACTGTAAGCTTCATTTGATACTTTTAGACTATTACTTGGTCTAAATGTAGGCCATTGATCGAGTAATTTACATGCGTACTGCTCATTTTGAAAGGCTAAAGGTTCAGGGTTCATTTTAGGTTGCATATAAACAAGAAAATTACATTCGAATTACATAGAATTCAATTAGGTGCACAAAAAATGTTCCTACTACAGAAAAAGACAATGCTCCTTTATATATTTCATTCTCCCTGGCTATTTTCCATCTGGAAAAAAATAGTCCTGTCTTCTTTTATTTTATTTTTTTCTCTATATTTAGCTATTTTCTCTCTCTTGTTGAAATTCACCAATTTTGCTATTTTAATTTATTTAGTAAGTGAATGGTTGTATTTTTTAACTTTTTGTAAAGAATAGCTAAATCCCTTAAGACCGAGGCTGCAAAATATTTTGTTATTTCTACTTGTCAGAGGTCTTCCTTCAGCTGGCAGTGCTTCTTAGGACTGCCTGCTAACCGATTGGTTCGCTTTACCACATGACGCCCAGTATATGGCCCGCCCGTCAGCATCTCCAAGGCAGAAACCGCCGCGGAGCTCAAACCCTCTGTCAACTATGGATATGTAACTTAAGGCGAAACAAACTACCTCCATAAGTTGTGTGATTTTTGTATCACCGGTTATTTGTTAGAGGTGCAGATTTTGAACAGGCTATTTTAAGTGGTCACGGTAAGTAAATTCAGTTCACTATTTTTTTCCTGCAAAATGACCGCTGTTCTGGATAGCCTTGGCTCGAATATGCATACAAACCATATTACCTCGAGCAGCTTCAGTACCGTTCACAAGTCGCAGGATTCCCCAACATTGCCGGTGTCAACTGTGACCGACAGCAACTTCTACAGTAGTTCACAGACAGGTCACTGCGCGGGGACAGCGTACGCGCAACTGGCATCTTATTCCTATCATCCTGGTACAGTGGGTAATGTTCACTACAGCCCAAAGGCTTACGATTTAGGCTATGCTTCTTCCTATGGCGCTTATGGAACGTATGGACCCAGTTCTTCACCAACTCCAACCGAACCAGGTAAGACCGCCTCAGTATTCCCAAACGTCGTTTTCTGTTGCCTATTGCCGTCTTGTGATATTTTACAATGACAACTTCTGTGGTTAATTTTGATAGAGAAAGAAGAGAGTGAGCCAGAGGTGCGCATGGTGAATGGAAAGCCAAAGAAAATCCGGAAACCGCGAACCATCTACTCCAGTTTTCAGCTGGCGGCTCTCCAGCGCAGATTCCAGAAGACCCAGTATCTCGCGCTCCCAGAACGCGCCGAACTGGCGGCGTCTTTGGGCCTCACACAGACCCAGGTCAAACGCGGCTCTTTTACTGCATGCTGTGGCTATAAGTTTGAAGCTGTATTTCTGTACTTTTATTTATTTTAACGTAGAGTTGTGTTCTTTCATGTTTAACTTAGACGCGCTTTGTTTTGCGCCACAGGTGAAGATATGGTTTCAGAACCGACGCTCAAAATTCAAAAAGTTGTGGAAAAACGGCGAGATTCCATCAGACCAGGTTGCTGCCGGTGACTCTCCCTCTAGCACTCCTCCACCACAAACAGTTTGGGATTTCCCACCGAACCAGACACCGAACGACGGAGACACAGTTTCAGAGCAGCCCACTGGGCCACCAAACACCACCGCCCCATCGTTTTTGACAAACTATTCATGGTACTCATCCACGAATCCAGTCACACATCTACAGCCCAGTACCTTAATACAACCTCATCACAGCTCTGCCATGAGTGCTGGGGCCATATTCTAACAGAGGACTAAAATGGCCGAATACACCTGTTGTAGGAGGATATTCTGTCACTGGACTTATATCTTAGGAAAACATTAACTCAAAAATCTATTTTCAGGCTGGGTTTGCTAAAGATGTTTGCTGTGGAATTCTTTGGCGCCACTAATGCGCGCAAGCAACGCACATTAAATTATTTTTCTATTTATTTATTTGTTTTCGTTATAGTCAAAATGAAAGGGATATGTTTATTTCACATTCCAAGTACAAACGGGTAGCCTTTTTCGTGTGTTGTACAGAATATATTAGATTTAGTGATAAATCTATTCAAATGCTTATAACCTGGCTAAAGATGTTTGCTGTGGAATTCTTTGGCGCCACTAATGCGCGCAAGCAACGCACATTAAATTATTTTTCTATTTATTTATTTGTTTTCGTTATAGTCAAAATGAAAGGGGTAATCAGATATGTTTATTTCACATTCCAAGTACAAACGGGTAGCCTTTTTCGTGTGTTGTACAGAATATATTAGATTTAGTGATAAATCTATTCAAATGCTTATAACCTGCAGTCATAATTAAATGTGCGTTTTACTATCAGTTTAACGTTTGGTTCTTTGATTGTCGTTTCAAGTTGTTTTTCTTCAACCCAAGGATTTTGTGGAGTTGTGTTTTATTTCAGGTTTTGCTCTATAAAAACGATTCTTCATTGGTCGTAAAAGTCTTGTAAAGGATCGTAGGCTACAACTGGTCTGTAACGTGTGTATGTTGATATTTCCACGTTCTTTTAACCTGGCATCTAACAATTTTTACTTTTAACGTGGCAACCAAGCACTTATTTGGCTAAAACGCATGAATGAAACCGTATAAATGAAAGAGACCCCGTTTGAATTTGGAACGCTCGCTGCGTAAATACAACATGGGTTCATATGCACTAATTTAATATTTGCAGAAATTAAGAAATTAGGTCTGCATAGGTTTGTAAAGAACATTACTCTTAGCCTGTATACCTATGCAGACTTTTCCTGTACATATCTCCGTTTCTTTTGCACACGTAATGCATGTGTGATTATTCGGTAGAACGAATCTGACCCTATTTAATCCCTTGTAAATGTTCTTGGTGAAGAGGTATCCTGTACCTCTGGGCATGAGGGGGAGCGCCTGGCATTCGGACGCGTCTTGACATGCGCAGAAGGAGATGCGAGGGCGTTCCGCGTGCGGCGAGGGCTCTTCCCACTCCAGACTCTCTGGAGTCAGCTCGCTCCTCTTCCAGACCTTTTATGAACGCCACTCAACCAGAGAAAAAAAAAAACATAAAACTGCCTCAAGCAGACCGCCCTGGAAACATTCTCCTCGAGTCCCCGCTTCCAGCTCCAGCACAGCCTTGAGCTATTCTTGTACGGGGACACGCAGTTTCTCATTGCCTCACGTCTTTACATGGTCAAGTTCAATATTTTTGGAACTAAAATAGTTACTGGAATAGGTGGGAGACCCGGCTTAACTCTGAGGGCAAAACACCACTTGCACCAATTTTACAAATTAATATGAGGCTTTTGCTCATGTTTCATATTATACCGCACCTGTAATCTAGTCCATGTATGTTTATTTGTCATTGTGAAACTGGGATTAAAAGTTGCTTTACCTAATTGTAATTAAGGCAAATGCATATTACAAATGGATTGCATATTTTCTTTATTAGGCCCTCAAATCGTGTGAATATTTTTATATAAATTTCTTGAACTATAATCGCAAAAAAAAAAAAAAACAACAACAACAACAAAAAAAAAATTTGTTCTACCTAAACATATTCAATTGTAGGCTATATTAAAGGGAAAAAATGAACAGAATATATCAAATCAATCAACTTGGCCGAACAAGCAAACAAAGAGCAGCATAACAAAACAGCATAATAACAGAATCATCAGTAGGCTATTCCTGAAGTTTACCCACGAACTATTATAAAGAATAAGTTTCAGGGGCTGTTGTAACTAAACGTTTATCTTATATGATTTGTTGCTTTTGAGGTTCATTCGCGCTTCCGCGGTTTTTCTAAATATGGACATAGTGGTTGGGGCCCGGATCCTTTGATTCTTATTGAAAAAGACGACTATTTTTATTCTGATTTTGGGAATCTGATTCTCAAACCCACCAGGTCGCCATGGCATATCTTTGCAGGTAGGCCTACAGCAAATGCTACTATGATTGTATCACATTTTACCGTTCTGCTTCGTTCCTTGTGTCAACATTCACAGCTGGCAGTAATTGAAATGCCAGGGCTTATTTGCAACCACACCACTATGAGTCCAAATGACTGCTTCCGTTTGGATTCAAAGCTACATCCGCATGAAGCAGAGCAGAGGGTCTCTGTAATATTTCTAGAATAGAAAAGAAAGGAAACATTTTGCGGTTTAATCTGTAATGATATTTTGTAGTGCATTGGCATTATTATTAATCACTTTCTGTGTACTGCAGAAAAAAGTGGGCTGTCAGTAACGCAAAAGTTGATTTGCATAGCCAATATTTTGCTGGATCTCATAAATTGTTGTTGTTTTTTTCTTTGCTATGACGACAAATGTATTGTACGATTAAAGAGAAAGCAAATAACTACAGAGCATTCACGCAGCCAAACCAAGCCCAAATGAAACGAACAACATAATAAAAAACTATAGCCTACTTCAGATAGGAACAGATCACAAAATGTCGTAGCCTAAATAAAACAGTAAAAGAAATATGGAAAGATGCAACGAAAAGTGAGCGAAAATGCGAGATTTTAAGTTTAAAATCAATTAGTTTAGAGTCAATATAATGATCAGGAACATCCTTCATGACAGAATACAGCACCTGACCCCTATTGCTATTCCCTGCCTATTCCTTTTTCTTTTGTCCGACTGAAAAGGTTCCCTCCGCGCCAGAAATTGCTTGCAATTGCGACAGACATATGAAAATGCGTGAGGATGCACAAAAACCATTTGGCTGCAATTATGATTCGATTTAATGAGCACAGCTTAGAAAGGCATGCACCATGCGGTCAGAAAGTGCGATCAAATCACATAAACTAGTAGACCTATACAAATAGGCCTAAACAGATATGCTTAATAATAATAATAATGTAAAAACTATTCCTTTTGTGCTTAATAATAATAATAATGTATAGAAACAATTCCTTGGTCTGTACATATTCCATCATCATAATCTAAGGACTTTAGTAAAATAAACAATGTGCGTTTAAATGTTACGTGCTGTCGTTTACATCTCGTTTTATACGTACACATCATTTGCTTTATACGTTTTCTTTTTAATAGGCTATCGATTCTTAGTAAAAAAAAACAACAACATACAAACGTAAATTATAGGTGATTTATGTGCGCGTTTCTTTAGTCTAAATATAGAGCTTACGGACTGTTTCAAGCAAAAGCAGAAGGAAACTTCCCAGATGGCACAGCCACCGAAAGCTACGGATTAACTAGTAAGGGTCACAATGTAATTAACTTTAATTGTACACATCATAGAGGCACAGCCATTAAACAGATGCACAATGGAAGCCGGTTTGTGGAGAGAGTTCGTGCTCATGTAAGCACACTTTCTGATCACTCATTTGACGTATTTCATTCAGTGTGTGTTTTTAGCGATTTAATATTTACAAAATATGATTAAACATTTTTTTTTTACCATCCACACACTTCAAAACGTAAACTGTAAGACTGAAAGCTATGAACACACTGCTATTCTCACTGAGAATACATGCGCATTTCAGACAGCAGAATTCAAACTCTGTCAAATGTCAGACAGCATAAGCAGTTTGCCAATGACGCCGTGAAACAGATATGATTATAGGGTATTCTTAATACGCTACACATGGCTCATACAGAAACCCCTGGCCCATAGATATAATCACCTCTCGAGAGATGCACAGCGCTAACTACATTACTGCGGAGTAATATTATGATGTACGGAGAAACCCCGCCATAATAATAAGACGTAATGACATTTCATTCCCTTTGCTTTCAATGAGTTCAGTCAGAGATGACATCAGAAACCAAAGAGTGTGGAATAGTGACGAGATTTTGAAACTCATTACATAATAACCTACATGCATTAAACAATTAACCCTATTAATTCAAACGGGCTGGAGTTGCACAGCTGTTTCAAGAAGCCATTTGGTCAGGCTAACAAAATAAGATGAAACACTGAAGAAATGTTAAGAAACATTTATTTAAATAACAGATTCTATTATTTTAAAAACGCAGATCCATCTCACAGGTCACACTTCAAGATGTCCCATAATTCTTGTCCGGTCAATCTTCATCTGGTAGTTTTGTCAGAATCTCTACACCATCGCTGGTGATTACAACCGTGTGTTCAAATTGGGCCGATCTGAGTATTAACACACAAGAAAACAAACACACAGGTGAACATGTTGCGATTTAGTCATTTATCTAAAATCAGTGGTTCTCAACCAGGGGTCTGGGGCCCTCAAGGGCCTCAGCAAACTTCTATGGGTGCCGCAAGATGACAAAGTAATTTAAAATAAGATGAAACAAGCATTAACAACTAAAATATATAAATGTGTGATTTCAATACCTGGAAAAATTCTATAATAATAATAATAATAATGTAAAAATAATAATAAGATTTTACACCATTAGCATTTTTATATATTTATATACAATTCTTGTCTAGTTATGCCAAGCTCTAAAATATTTTGTCAGGTAAAAATGGTTAGTTAAAATATTTTTTAAAAATCCCTTAATCCTTTTTCAGTATATCACAATGAGGGCCTTGGAGTCAAAAAGGTTGAGAACAACTGCCTTAGATGTAGAATTAAAATAAGGAATCTATCAATTTTCTTATATTGCATATTACCCCAGTCAACCTTAAAAATCAGAGCTCTAATCAACCACTGACCAAGTAGTAACACTCTGCTCTCACCTGCCAACAGGGCAATCAGCTCATTTGCAATTAACACTGAAGTGCTCTCCAGTGAAATATATGCAGTTAAATGAAGGTTTATGCCAGAGCACTTAGCTCTCTATGTGCTTCAAATTCTGAGGGTACTTAGTCTTTCCAAGCTAAACGTCAACAGCCAATAGAAATAAAGTTCTTGAAGATTCTCAATCGAAATTGGCCACTTATTCTTGCATGAAGTAATGAATGATTAATGTAGGCTACATTTA